AAGAGTATAGGAGCAGCTTCTTCAATTTTATGAAATTGTATAGCTTTGAGTGAATTTTTTACTCTTGATTTCTAATTTGATTGTGCTATGGTCTGAGACACTATTTTTTATATTATGGATCTTTTGCATTTGCTGAGGAGAGCTTTATTTTATATTTTGTGATTAATGTTAGGGTAAGTACCAAGTGACAATGAGAATAATGAATATTCTGTGTTTGAGTGGAAAGTTCTGTATATATCTATCAATTTCACTAGATCCAGGGCTTAGTTCAGGTCCTGAATATCTTTGGTAATTTTCTGTTTCAATGATCTCTCTAATATCGTCAGTGCAGAGTTAAAGTCTCCCAGTATCGTGTGGGAGTCTAAGTCTCTTTAAGGGTATTTAAGAATTTGCTTTATTAATCTGGGCACTCCTGTTTTGGATGCATATATATTTAGGGTAGCTAGATCTTGTTGAATTGACTCCTTTACCATTACATAATGGTCTTCTTTGTCTTGTTTTGATCCTTCTTATTTTAAATTCTGTTTTGTCAGAAACCAGTAGTGCAACCCCTGCCTTTTTCTGTTTCCTATTTGCTAGCCAGATTTTCCTCCACCGTTTTATATTGAGCCTATATGTGTCACTGCATGTGAGATGGGTCTGTTGAAGACAGCACACCAATGGGGCTCAGTTCTTTATTTAGCTTCTACTCTGAGTCTTTCAATTGGTACATTTAGCCCATTTATATTTAAGGTTAGTTTTTATATGTGTCAATGAATCTAAGAGCTGCTTTTCTGAAAAAAAAAATTAATAAAATAGATAGATCACTAACTAGACTATTAAAGAATAAAAGAGAAGATTCAAATACATAAAATCAGAAACCACGAGGGGGATATTGCCATTGACAAAACAGAAATACAAACAACCATCAGAGAATATTATAACCACCTCTATGCACATAAACTAGATAATCTAGAAGAAATGAATAAGTTCCTTTACTCATCCACCCTCCCAAGACTAAACCAAAAAGAAATTGATTGCCTGAACAAACCAATAATGAGTTCTAAAATTGTGGCAGTGATAAATAGCCTAGTAACCAAAAAGAGCCCAGGACCAGATAAATTCACAGCTTAATTCTACCCGGTGTACAGAGAAGAGCTGGCACCATTCCTACTACAAGTATTCCAAATAACTCCTCCCTAACTCATTCTATGAGGCCAACATCAGTCTGATACCAAAACCTGGCATGGATACAGCAACAACAAAAAAGCTTCAGGCCAATATCGTTGATGAACATCAATGCAAAAATCCTCAACAAAATGCTGGCAAACCAAATTCAGCAGCACATCAAAAAGACAATCTACCACAATGAAGTAGGCTTTATCCCTGGGATGTAAGCTTGGTTCAACATACGCAAATCAATAAATGTGATTCATTACATAAACAGAACTAAAGACAAAAAACACATATTTGTCTCAATAAATGCAGAAAAGTCTTTTGTTAAAATTCAACATTCATTCAGGTTGAAAACTCTCAATAAACTAGGTATTAAAGGAACATACCTCAAATAATGGGTCACATATGACAAAACCACAACTAACATCATACTGAATGGACAAAAGCTAGAAGCAGTTCCCTTGAAAACTGACACAAGACAAGAATGCCTTCTCTCACCACTTCTATTTAACATAGTATTGGAAGTTCTGGCCAGGGCAAGTAAGCAAGAGAAAGACATAAAGGTCATTTAAATGGGAAGAGAGAAAATTAAACTATTTTTGCTTGTAGATGACATGATCTTAAATATAGAAAAGCCCATAGTCACTCAGCACAAAAACTTCTTAAACTGATAAATAACTTCACAAAGGACACTGATTTAACAACTATTTACACAAAAAAGTAAACCTTCACAAGAACCAAAATCAGGTGAGTAGTCATAGTACATGGTTTGAAATTTGTATCACTGAATGGGGCACTAAAGAGGTAGAAAAAACAGCTTTGAATCTGAGACACCAGCCCTCCCAATCCCCCTGCAGCTGCAGCATGATGTAGAGAGCCTTCCATGTACTTGAAGAGGGAAAGACAGAAACTGTGAGGTATTACACTCAGGGATGTTCTGTTACAGCAGAAAAAAACAAAAAACAAACAAACAAACAAAAAAACAGACCAAACTTAGCTGACATCTGCCCACCATACACAGGGACCATTTAAACCAGCACTAGCCTGAGATGAATCACTGCAGTGGTCAGAAGTCATGTTCCCGGAAACATTGCAAATGCAGGCTGCAGTTCTCAGGTGCTCTACATAAATGTGAATGGCAGTCTTGGCCACAGTAACTTCAACTCTTAGGTGGATCCTGGTGCTGAACTGTAACTAGACTGGATCCCTTCCCTGAACCCAGGCTTCTGAGCTCACAGCTCCAAAATAGTGCCCTTCCTTTTGCCTGAGGAGTGGGGAGGGAGGAGTGAAAAGGATTTTGTCTAGCATTTTAGATACCAGCTCGGCCACAACAGGATAGGGCACCAATAAGAGTGGTGAGGCCCCCCATATCCAGAATCCCTGAGTACCTTTCTAGTCATTCCCTGGACCAGAAGGGAACCTATTGCCTTGAAGGAAAAAATAAAGTCCTGGCAGGATTAATTACTTGCTAATTGAAGAGCCCTTGGGATTTGAAGAACTAGCAACAATCCCCAGTATAAAGTTGAGGGCCTTGGGAGATACTCTGATAATTGATAGCTTTAGGTAACAGCTCAGTCCCAGGTGGGTGCAGCACCAGGCAGAAACTTGGGGTCCCAAATTCTATAATTTGGCTCTTAGATGGCATTTCTGGTCCTCTCCTGGGCCAGTGGGGAGTGCACTGCACTGAAGGGTGAGTCCCCAGCCAGGCAGTCTTCACCACAAGTTGACTGAAAATGCCTTAGGTCTTAAGGGAACATGAGTAATAGTCTGAACGTATTGACTGTGAGTCTGTTGTGGTATTGATCACAAGGGGAGGTGCCTCTGCCATTCCAATGGGGAGAGTGGGCAAAACTCTATCTTGTGGTTTGAATGCCAGCTCAGCTGCAGTACAATAGATCAGGTAGACTTCTATGCTTTTTGACTCCAGGCACTGTCTCTCAGTTGGCAACTGTGGGCACACCTAGTACCTGGGGCGCCTGCCATCCTGAAATGAAGGATACAGGTTTGTTTGCCTTTGACACTTGCTGATTATAGAGCCCCAGAGTTTGAGTGAACATAGTCTGTAGCTTGGAAGTGGTTAGAATAGGCCCTGAATGAGACCCAGTGATATACTGTATTCAGGTATGACCGAGCACACTTTTGAATTTTTTTCAAAGAGGCAACCTTGGCTATCACTATTTCAGTTTTTAGCTGATGATCTCTATTTTAAATTTGTTTCCTATTTCTATTTTTATTGTAATTTTTATTTCATAAGATTGCCTTTGGTTTAATTTATTGATATTTTTAATTTTTGTGATAATATCCGAGTTGTTAGCCTTTCAAATCTCTAAAATATAATTTAAAACTATATAGTTTACTTTAAGCATGGATTTAGAAGTTACTTCATGTCTTATTCTGTAATATGTTTATTTTTATTTAGTCTAAAATATTTTGTAATACCTACTGTGATTTCTTCTTTGACTAAGGGGTTATTTTGATATGTGATTTCGTTTTTGACACAGGGGTTATTTTGAAATGAATTTCATAATATTTACACCTATAATAATTTCTACATCTTGCTATTTGATTTCCAGCTTAATTTCACATAGTCAGACAATATGTTCTGTTGAAATTTAAAACTTGTTGATGCCCCAATGAATGTTAAATTTTAAAAAATATTTCAAGAATTTTTGAAAAGAAAATGTATTCTTTAGTTGAGTAGAGTGTCCTACATATGACATTAATGTGGTTTCTTAATAATGTTCAAAACTTCCATATCCAATCTAATTTTTAAAATAAGTTGACTTTAAAATATAATTAGGTTATGCTCTTCTACTCAAATTGTAGATTTTTCTATTTCTGAGTTAGGTGCTGTGAACACTTTTTAATAGGGTCATGTGTTGCATACAAATTTGGAATTGTTATACCTTTTTGGTGAGTGATCTTGTTTGCAACGTGGCTCCACCAGTTTGCATTCCCAACAGCACTGTATGAAAGTTCTATTCACTGAGCACACTTGTCAACATTTATTATTGTCAGTCTTCTAAATTTTAGTTATTCTAGAGTATGATTGCTGAAAGTGAATTTTAATTTATGTAGTGACTAATAATATTTATCATATAAGTTCATTACCTAATTGCTTACATAGAAAAAGATAACAAATGAAAATAAATGAGGATTCCACAAAGTATAGGTCCTTTTTCTGTTAGCCTTTCCTTACTCATCGGTAAGTTGAAAGTAAAGAGTGTTGGAAGAACAGGGACATATCAATCAGTGTACAAACCTCTTATGCAGTATTTCTACTGTTGTGGTGAGAACAATATATGTGTGTGTGTATATATAAATACACGAGCTACAAAATATCAGTGATTCCACATGTAGTATACACATTTGTATGCTTGCACTTAAAACTGGGATTGGAAAATATACATATTAATAATAATAAACATTATTATAATTTAAATTCCAAATTTTATAGTTAGAATCACAATTACTCCTATTATATTTCACAAGTAATAAAATGTTTTTAAAGGAACTTTATATATTAATATCTTTAATGTCATATTTCATTTGCTTTTTGATAAACCATCTCACACTTCTATTTTTTGTCTTGAACCAACAATTATGTAACTGACTTTGCATGGATACGTGTCCTTTATCAGATATGTTTTATGTATAATTTCTCCCAGTCTGTGTCTGATCTTTTCAGTTTTACCAGTGTACAACAAAAGTTAAATTTTTAAATGAAAATCAGTTTATTATGTTTGTGTCTTTTTTTATTGTTTATGTTTTAGTATCTTGTCTACTAAATATTTGCCTAACCCAAAGTCACAAGAAAATTCCATTTAATTTTCTTTTAGAAGGTGGCACAATATGGCCAAATAGAATGCTCCAGTAATTGTCCTCACCCTACAAAGACAACAAACTGAACAAAAATGTACACAAGAAAGCACCTTTATAAGGACCAAAAATCAGGTGAGTGATCACAGTACCTGGTTTAAACATCATATCAAGGTAAGAAGCATAGAAGAGGATAAAATGACAATCTTGAATTGCATGTACCACACTTTCTCCATTTTCCTATAGTGCCATGTGGTGGGGTGAGAGAGAATCTGTGTGCCTGTGGGGAGGAAAGGCAAAGTGACTGTGGGACTTTTGCATTGGAACTCAGTGCTGCCCTGTGAGACCAGAATGCAACATAGAGCAGAATTCAGCCATCATTCATTGATGGAGCATTTAGACGAGCCCTAACCGGACAGGAGTTATCTACTCCAACAGTTGAAACCTGAGTTCTGGCTAGTCCCACCACCAAGGGCTAAAGAGCTGTGAGGTTTAAAATAAACATGAAAGGAAGTCTAGAACATAAGGTCTGAAATTCCTGTGCAAGTTCTGCTGTGGTATTGGGCTCAGAGCCAGGGTAATTGGGGTGCATGGACCCAGTAAGACACTAGCTAGGACAGCCAACGGTGTGCTTGCATTACCCAAGCCCTAACATCAGGCAGGTCAGCTTGAAACTCCAGGAGAGATACCTGCTTGAGAAAAGGAGGAGGGAAACTAGAAAGGACATTCTTTGAAATTGGAAACCAATTGAGTCACAGTAAAATAAAAAATAAAGCTAATTTCTAAGGTTTATGAATGCAGGCCCTAGATCTTAAGACAGAATTTCTACATGCATCCTACACCTGAAAGAAACTTGCTGCCCTTAAAGGGGAGACATATTCCTAATAGGATTCATCTCCTTCTGATTAAGGAGCCCTTGAGCCTTGAATAAACATCAGTGGTAGTCAGTTAGTAGTTGCCACAAGGCTTGGGCAAGACCTAGTACTGTGCAGGTTTCAGGTGTGACACAGTGCATTTTCAGCTGATCATGAGGCGATACTTGTTTTGCTTGAGAAAAAAGGAGCAAAGAGTAAAAAAGAGCTTGTGTTGCAACTTGGCAACTCTTGCAACTGTTGCAACTTTACTTGCAACAGGCACAGTAAAATACAGCATGAAGCTGATTTCTAAAGCCCTTACTTTCAGGCCCTAGCACCTATGCAGCATTATAGGACCCACCCTGGTCCTGAAGAGAACCTACTGTTTTAAAGGAAAATACATAGTTCTGACAAGATCCACAATCTGTTGACTAAAGAGTCACTGAGCCTCAAATAAACATCAGCAGTAGGCAACGCAGGCTGTGAACAGGACCAGTATTGTGTTGGCTTAAGGAGTGACCAAGCACCTACCCAGTGATAGTGTTGATAGGAGTATTTACATCACCTCCATGCCCAGCTCCTCCAGGCAGCTCAGCATGTAGAGGGATGATCCATGTTTGCGGAACAGTAAGAAAAGACAACAGGAGTCTCTGCTTGGTAATCAGAAGACTTCTCTGAGACCTTACCCAAGATAATCAAAACAATATCTCTGTGAGTCTTCAGGAGTCACTGTGGTACCGAGCTTGTGGTACTCCATAATGCAGATAAGGCTAAAGTAACCAAAGATCATAGCACTCAATTCCCATAGAATATCTGTAAACCTTTCTTAATAATCATAAGTACAAACAAGAGCATACTGCAAAAATGAGAATAAATATCTAATGCTTCATTGCTCAGACATCAAAAAACATTGACAAACATCAAGACTATCCAGGAAACCATGACCTCAACAAATGAACTGAAAAAAGCCACCAGTGACTAATATGAAATTGACAGACAAATCTGACATTTCAGATAGATAATTCAAAATAGTTATTTGATAAACACTAATGAAATTCAAGATAACACAGAGAAGAAATACAAAATAATATCAAATAAATTTAATAAAAGAATTGAAATAATTTCTAAAAATTAAGCAGAAATTCTGGAGTTAAAACATTAAATTGGCAAACTGAAGAATGCATCAGAGTCTCTCAGCGGATTTGTTTGATTAGCAGAACTGATCAAACATAAGACAGAATTATTGAGCTTGAAGACAGGCTATTTGAAGATACAGTCAGAGGAGACAAAAGGAAAAGAATACAAAAGAATGAAGCATACCTGCAAGTTCTAGAAAATAGCCTCAAAGGGTCAAATCTAAAGGTATTGGCCTTAAAAAGGAGAAGAGGAGGTAAAGACATAGAATGGAGTGAAAAATTTATTCAAAGAGATAATAGCAGAAAACATTTCAAACCTAGAGAGAGACACCAATATTAGAATATAAAAAAGTTGTTGAACACCAAACAGATTTTAGCTGCAAAAGACTACTTCAAGACATTAATTATCAAACTCCCAAAGATCAGGTATAAAGAAAGAATTCTAAATGCAGCAAGATAAATGAAACAAATAATGTGTAAGTATCTCTGATATGTCTGGCAGAATATTTATCAGTAGACACCTTACAGGCAAGGAGAGAGTGACATAACACGTTTAAAATGCTATAGAAAAAATGTTTTACCATACAGTATTATATTCAGTGAAAATATCCTGCAAACATGAAGGAGAAATAAAGACTTTCTCAGACAAACAAGAGCAGAGAAATTTCATCAAAATTAGATCTATCCTATGAGAAATGACAAAAGGAGTTTATCATCACCCCCCAAGCACCCCCTTGAAAGAAAAGGGGGTTAACAAGAAGAAAGAACTCATTTGAATATATATATCTCACTGGTAATTGTAAGAACACAGATGAATATATATTTGTTTGTAAAATACACATACTTTGAGTGGGAAAAATATAAGATGAACATATCAAAAATAACTACAACAGCATTTAAAGACATAGACAGTGTAATAGATAAAAGCAACAAAAGGTTAGAAAGTGGGGAGAGGCTATTACAATACAGAGTTTTTATTAGTATTCTCTTTTTAAAAAAATGTGACTGTTTTTGTAATCAGAGTTAAGTTCTGATCAGTTTAAAATATGAGATGCACAATGATATTTGCAAGCCTCATGGTAACCTAAAATATAAAAACCTATAAGAGAGACACACAATAAAGCAAGAAATTAAAATACAACCTGAGAAAATCACTATTAATCAAAGGAATACAGGAAGAAAAGTAGAGAATACCCTAGAAATTAAATCCTAAAATGCTAAAAGTAAGTCCTTATTTATTCATAACATTGAATATAAATTGACTAAACTCTCTAATCTAAAGACATAGAGTGGCTGAATGAATAATTATAACCCAATTATCTGTTGCCTACAAGAAAGATACTTCACATATAAAAAATCACTACAAATAAAGAGATGGAAAATGATATTCTATACAAATGGAAAGTAAAAAAGGAAAGGAGTACCTATACTTACAACAGATAAAATAGATTTTTAATAGAAAAAACTATTAAAAAAAGACAAAGGAGATCATTTTAGAATGACAAAGGGGTTAATGCAGCAAGATAATATAACAATTTTAAATATAGGTACACCCACACCAGAGCACCCAAATATATATAACAAATATTAGAGCTGAAGAGAGATATAGACCTCAATTCATTAGTAGGTAGAGACTTCAACACCCCACTTCCAGCATTGAACAGATCACCCAGACAGAAAATTAACAAAGAAACGTCAGACTTAATCTGTGCTATGGATCAGATACATCCAATAGACATTTACAGAACATTTATTTCAATAGCCTCAGCACAGGGATCAGTCTCAGGGATAGATTATATATTATACCATAAAACAAGACTTAAAAAATTCAAGAACATAAAATAATATCAAGTATCTTCAGTGACCACAATAGATAAAACTAAAAATCAAAACAAGGGAAATATTGAAAACTAGAGAAACATATGAAAAATAAACAATACACTACCAGATTACCAGTAGGTCAATGCAGAAATTAAAAAGGAAATAAAAACATTTTTTGGAACAAATGATAAGAAAAATAACACACCAAAACCTGTGGTATACAGCAAAAGTGGTACTATATTAGTCTGTTTTTACACTGCTGATAAAGACATACCGGAAACTGGTAGCAAAAAGAGGTTTAACTGGACTTACAGTTTCTCATTGTTGGGGAGGCCTCAGAATCATGGCAGGAGGCAAAAGGCACTTTGTACATCGGCAGCAAGAGAAAACTGAGGAGGAAGCAAAAGTGGAAACCTCTGATAAGCCCATCAGATCTTGTGAGACTTAATCACTATCATGAGAATAGCATGGGAAAGACTGGCCCCCATGATTCAATGACCTCCCCCGGGTCCCTCCCACAACATGTGATAATTCTGAAAGATACAGCTTAATCGAGGTTTGGATGGGGACATAGCCAAGCCATATCATTCCATCCTTGGCCTCTCCAAATCTCATGTACTCACATTTCAAAATCAATCATGCTTTTCCAACAGTCTCCCAAAGTCTTAACTTATTTCCGCGCTAACCCAAAAGTCCACAGTCCAAAGTCTCATCTGAGACAAGGCAAGTCCCTTCCACCTATGAGTCTGTAAATTCAAAAGCAAAGTAGTTACTTCTTAGATACAATGGGGGTGCAGGTAATGGGTAAAAGCAACTATTCCAAATCGAAGAAATTGTCCAAAACAAAGAGGTTAGGGTTACAGGTTGCATGCAAGTTTGAAATCCAGTGGGGCGGTCAAATTCTAGAGCTCCAAAATGATATCCTTTGACTCCATGTCTCACATCTCCATAGGTCACACTGGTGCAAGAGGTAGATTCCCATGGTCTTGGGCAGCTGTACTCCTGTGGCTTTGCAGGGTATAGCTCCTCTCCTAGCTGCTTTTATGGGCTAGCATTGAGTGTCTTTTGCTTTTCCAGGCAAGCTGTTGGATCTACCAATCTGGGGTCTGGCCTGCTTCTCACAACTCCCATTAGGAACTCTGTGCAGGGGCTCTGACCCCACATTTCCCTTCTGTACTGCCCTAGCAGAGGTTCTCCATGAGGGCTGTGTCCCTGCAGCAAACTTTTTCCTAAGCATCTAGGCATTTCCTTACATCTTCTGAAATCTAAGTGGAGGTTCCAAAATCTCAATTCTTGACTTCTGTGCACCCACAGGCTCAATACC